TATGAAGTGTGCCTTGACAGAGAAGGAGCTCATTTAGAACATGTTATAAAGTATCAATAATATGTATTTTTTAAAACAATAAAATAATTATAAATTCAGTATTGTTTATTTTGGGCTATTCTGTATTTTATATTGTTTATCGTAATAGCTCCTATTAATTCAATTTCATTTCTCCAGATTCTCCATATGCCGTCTTTCTCTTGCATCGGGCCACATACTTTTCTCAGTTACTTTCTCTCGAATGCCCTAAGTTGCGCTTCAACTTTTTTTATTACCCAGGTCTCACAACCGTAGGTTTGTACGGGTCTAACTAATGTTCTATATATATAGTTATTTTGGTTCTTTCGTAAAATAATTTCTATGCCATCAATTTGTTATTAGCATAGTATATACAATATCCGATGGAAATACATGCATTAATTTCGTTACTTACGGAATTCTTTTAATTGATATATATGCCCAGATATGTAAAGGCATCCACACGTTCAATGTTATAGTCTATTGCAATATTTTTTATTATAGGTGCTCTTTTGACTGTAATGTACTTGGTTTTTGTATTGCTTATTTTAAGCCCTCTTTTCCGTGTCTTAGTATTAATTTCCTTGATAACTTTCATTAGCTATTCTTGCTCCTACTAATGATAGGGTCTTTATATGTTTTGATAATTACCTATTATATTTTCGGAGTATTCTAACAATCCATTATACATAATACCATCAAGAATTTTGTATACTACATTTATCAATGTAATTGAATAAAATTCTGGCATTCCTCCTATCTCCTATCTTATATATTTGCTGTATAAGGCTAACTGCCTAGTGCGACGGCATTTGCTTCTTGGTCCATATTAAGATTATTAGATATGTTTTGTAAGACATTCTCCTCTGGAGAATATGTATCCTCCATGTTTTAATAATTTTGCCAAAATTCCAGGAATCCCTGGCGCTTTATTGTTTTTTTACTTTCTTTAATATTTGAACCACTTCTTCATAACTCGGATTTTTAATGTACCGCTCCACCGCATAATTTCCGTATATTGTCTTAGATTTTCTTTTCAGAAGTATTCTTTTCATCTCCTTATAATTTTTGTTTCTCTGTTAGTAGTTCTCCGTCCTTCTCTTGGCATATAATCAATTTTGGTTCAAATGACACTGTGCTTTCTTTCATTTATTTATAAAACTCTTTGCTTTTGTGTCTGTTGATGATCTAGGATCTGTTATACTTTTTTGTCAAAGCCTCTGTTTTTTCTTCTGAATATTCTAGTCGCTTGTATTCTCTTCTGGCTATAAATTTGCCTGCTATTTCTGGCGTTTCAGTAAAGTTGATTAAGTTTAGCTTTCCTATTTCGTCTAATGAAGTTCTGCATACCATTCCGCATTTCTTTAAATCATGGTTTTTCTGATAGTTTCTTGTGCAGATTTCGTTATTATTCTTTTTAATTGTCTCTATTGCTCATCTGCAGTATCTCTCCCCCTGGTTCCGTTATGTTTTATTTGGAAAGAATTTTGGTTTCTTTGTTAAACTTTTAAATCCTTTAACATTCGATTCTTTATTTCGACTATTTGTTTTTTGCCAATTTCGCAATTTTCTGCAGCAATTTTGCCTCCAAAAAATAGTGATCTGAGTCAGAATTCAGCCCGCGATACATTCTGATATTAGTTATGTCTATTGTTCATCTTTTAAAGATTAGGATGTGGTCAATTTGATTGACTTTGTTGGTTCCTGGTATTTTTCACGTTTCGTTATGAATATATTTTCTTTGAAAGTTAGTCCTCTTCATCAAAACTTAAGTCCTTGCCAGGGCGTGGTGATACTCGCTGTTATCTGTACTAAAAATTATTAGCTTGCTCTCTATTGACTAAAATTCTGTGCTTTATGGACGGATTTATGTAGGAATTTTCCCACCGGAGGCTTCATTTGGTTTACCATTATTTGTCTTCGGCCTTTTACCTTTCCTTCTACTACCAATAGTTCTAGGGTCCATGTTCTTCTAGCTATGTGTTCGAAGTAAATTAGTAGTTATGCTCGGCTTACTTCTTTTAATAGCATATCTTTTATATGAAGCTCTTCTAGAATTAACAGGTTGGTTCTATGTTCTGTGAAACGCGTAGAATTCTTCTACAGTCCCACCTTCTGAAGGCGTTTTTTTACTTCAATTGATTTTTTTAAGAGTCCATGTTTTAGCTGAGTGTGTAGTATTGGGACAAATAAGGGTCAATTTGTAATTTGATCAAACTAAACTTAGTATTCCTTAATATTGCTTGGTCTTTTCATATTTTATTCAAATTAGCTGTTGAGATTTGGGCCATTGCTAGTTTACGCTTGATTTCTGAGGAGCAATCACCATTGTTGGTTATCAGAGAGCCCAAAAATCTGTGTACCACTTCGAAATTTGCCACTTGGTGTATGTGCGGTAGATTACTATTACCTCTTTAATATCAGTTTGACTTTATTCGCTGCTAGTATAAGTGTGTCATCACGTTACTGATTTTCTGCCTTCTATAGTGATTCCTTCATCCCATTCATCCAACTACTCTTCTTATTATATATTCAGAGTTTATGTTGTACAATAATGGTGATACTATGAAGCCCAGCTAAGTTTCCGTGTACTTTAACTTTGGCTAAGTTTTTAGTATACAGATTTCTTATTGGGTTAACTACATAGTTAGATAACTGAAAGTTAGTACTAGAAACTATACATTTATTTGTTGCTGTAAATTGTGCAACCCTTAGTCAATTTTAAATGATTTTAGTAAGTAAACTATGTTTCCCAAATACTTTTACAAAAGTTTCTTCTTTTCCCACCTTAACATTAAAACCGCCTAATGTTTAAAAAGTATCGTGTCTTTGGATTTTATCACATACTTCCTGTAGTTTTTCATAGAATCTTGCAACTTCTTCGTCCCCCTTCCATCAGTGCACGTACGTTAACTATTGTCACGTTATGCAGTTTACCTTTGAGACTTATGGTGCAAATTCTGTCTGATATTGGTTTAAGTGCTATACTGGATGTTTGAAGTCCTTTGGTTACTATAAAATATTCTCATCTCTTACCTTGTCTGATTTGGTTTCCGGAGTAATATAGTGAGAATTTATGTTTACTAATTTCTCCATGGCTCATCAATCTGATTTCCTGTAGAGCCAATATTTCAACGCGTATTTTAAAGTTCTGCTGCCTAACCAATTAACCAATTCTGCTTTTAGGAGGATTGGCATATTCCAGGTTTCAAATGTTAAATACCTAATCATCTCCATTTGTCTTTTCTGAGTCCGTCGTGGGATTTATCCATTTCATTAGGCATTGTATTTACAACAATCGGATTTATACAAGGGGGGTAGTAAGCTCTTCCCATAACCCTCTATTGAGGACCAAGACTCCATTCTTAGTCAGCCATGACCCCACCTTTCACTGGGGTTTAGTTATCAAGCTCCAGTAGGGTTGCTTAGGTTACCGGTGTATACCAGCTTGAAGGTAAAAATAGGAATTGAGTAGAAGAGGCTTAGTAATCCAACAGGATACAGCAACATATATTGCGCTTCACTACTCCTTTACATACGTTGAAACTGCAAACAGTCCTTTAAAAAACAGACAAGGCAAACTTTGCTAGGGCATAAAGGAATTGCATGACGTCACTCCCTTTATTTGTTCATCCCTGGCAGTTAAAAATGCAGTAGGAGCGTCCTAGGAGGAACTCACAAACAGTACAGTCTGTGGAGGCAGATTTGCCTATTCTATTTACGTGGTGCCAAAACTACCATGTCAGGTCAGAAACTGCATCAGAAAGTAGTCTAGTTTCCTCAACTTACATTCCTACCACGGCCTTAGATGGGGCTGAGCTCCTTCATCCACTTTGCCTTCCTGCTATCATTCGTTGATTTTCTTTGCCACTATATCGTTTTCTCTCTCTCCCTCTCTCTCTTCCTTATTTATGTTTCTATCTATCCTTGCATCCTCGCATATACTCTTGCTCGCTCTTTGCACAACAAGACGAGCGGTTTCACCGCTCCAATGACATACAGAACCTCATTTAAGACCGCCCTGCATGCACTAGATACCTTAAGGAGCATTCGCCTTTGGGAAGTCTCCATCAGCTTGGCGTATTTCGCAGTGGTCAGTGCCAACAAAGGCCAAGATCTGAATTTAGAACTGAATATAGATTTAAGTTGTAGACAAAAGATCTTACAGGTCACGGTGTAAAAAGGTATTCTAGATCGGTGGGCTTCTTTGAAATAATATAATCCTTTAATTTATAATCTAGGTCTAGCATTGCCATCTCTCCTGTGTTTACAGAGATAATGTATTTAGAATCAAGCGTAATTCATCTTTAGTTAGAATATTTGAGTCTTGTGTATGGTACAAAGTTTTCTATAACAATCACTGGAAAGTGAATTCTGTTTACATATTTCTTCTATAAGTTTTTATAGCGCCATTATTGTATTCTAACTGCCATCTTTACATAGTTACTCCTAAGGATTATCAATACCGTTGATTTGTTTCTGGCTAGTTTTTTAGTTGCCTCTATAATTTAAAAATCGTTGGTGGTTGTTTTTTCCTTTTATCTGTATCGTTTCTTTTGCTTCCTTTATCCCTTTCGTCTTGGAGGTTTTTTTCTTCTTCCTATGTATTAACTACATGACTAAAATTTTTCGTCCACTGATTTAATACATCTTTACCATGACGTTTTATATAATAACTATTTAATAACTCTTTAGGCACTGGTTCGTTATTGCCTGCGTAATTTTTTTCGGATCTTCCTAATTTAATTCTGTTAACTTTAATATAATATACCTAATCTTTTGAATGTTTTTTCTGTATTAGGGTTTCCGATTTATTTATACTAAATGTAGATGTACACAAAAGATTTTTACAAGTCGTAGTATAGAAAAACCTACTAGTTCCATTGACTTCTTTGAAATCTAATACCAGAAGTATTTTTAGTATTATAATTAATATTAGAATCACAGCTAATATAAATTTTACATAACCAATCTGTTTATAGGTTATTTATCAAGACTTCAAGGGCAACTTCGTTCGAAAATAGCAGAAAAGACTGATTTTAGAGTAAAATTGATGAATGAGTTGGTGGCAGGTATTAAAGTAATTAAAATGTATGCATGGGAAAAGTATTTTGCAAAGGTCGTGGAAGCTGCCAGAACGTAAGTTGGTTGTTTATTACCTTTTAAGTTACTTAAATTATTTTATTAGAAATCGACTTTGGAGCACTTTAAAAATCATCTAGCTTTATGATTCAACTGCTGAAGTTGTAAACAAATATAGTATCGATCTCGTTAACATAATTTAAATTTTTAGTAATGAATTGAAAAGTATCGCCGCAACCTCCCAAATTAGGGGTTTTCATACAGCTTTAATGGTAATAACTGAAAGAATATCGTTATATGTGACGATTGTCACAAGAGTATTATTAGGCAACAAACTCACGGCTAGTCAAGTTTTTACTGTAGCACAATTATTTAATTCACTTCAGGCGTATTTATGTTTTTATTTTCCCAATGCTCTCATGGCGTACACTGAAGCTTTGACTACCATAAAAAGGCTTGAAGAAATTCTGTTATTAGAAGAGAAATGCAAAAGTGATATAAGTTTGGAAGGTACAAAGGGAAGAGTAACCGTTAAAGACGTTTCGTCTGCTTGGAACGACAATTTGGATATTACGCTTAGTGGAGTTAGTTTCAATATAGTGCCTGGCAGTTTATTTTGTGTGGTAAGGCGTTATGTGAAACATATTTCGATTTCCGTACTAACTTCTAAATTGCATGATTTCTTACTTAACATTATTTGATTCGTGTCCTACTAATCGATTATTTATATGTTGGGTTGGCCTAATTGTATCCCATTAGTTTTTATTACGGAATGCAACTTACATTGTTGTTGGATATATTTATAATTTATTTCAGAGGAATTTTTATTTAACATTCTTTTCCATTACAGAATATTTAGTTAGAAAACTGTAGAAATATTGGAAGTGTAGTGTTTTGTTTAGACCACTAACATAAATTTGTTTCCTGGTATTCAGATTATTACTTAAAAAAAAATTCTCTTACTTATCCTAATAAGAATTATAATAAAAATTCCGTCCTACTCGAAGTAGGTATTTTGCTGCAAAATACTCGTAGTACAAATAGCACATGTTGATGTCTTTAGTATTAAATCTAATAAAAATGAATTTTTTTATTCATGCTTTCTAAGTTAGCAATAACCCAACATGAAGTTTTATTATGACTTTAGGTGTTTCTAGTCACCATTTGACTGGTTTTTATGTTTTATCCTTTACGGTCGGTAATTATTATCTATGATTTATGAATTACTCCCGTCGTCAGAGACAAATATACTACTGAACCTCCAAAAATCATGCGAAAAAATTGAATTTTGATGATAGTCTCAATCTTGGGACCTCTAAAAATATGCCAAAAAGCTTACCACTTCAAATCCCCTGTTTTACCCTAAAACCTCCTCGTAGGTAGAAAAAACGGAAAAAATAGACTGACCAAGAATCTGTACGCCGTAAAAAATGTTTCAATAGATATAAAACGTTACTTCTGGCATAGCTTCCAAATCGCAACCCCTACTCCCGGTCGTAATTGCCAAATGGCTTCACGTAGGATGGCTTGAGAGGTATCATTAAAAATAGAATGAAAAATGAGGTTAAATACACTGTACCTTATGTGTATTGGAACATGCCAAACGGACATTAAACGTGTGGCACCCAAACGACATAACGGAGGATCACTTGAGATGGTGTCGGTGAAAGGAATATAACATATAGAATACAAAAACAACAAAAGTCATCATCGCGCTGGCATTGCCAAAGATACATTTAGGTTATAGTGCCTAAACGGCTTTTCTTCTTTTTGTAGAGTCTTAATGTTCTGTTAACATATCTGGACTTAATGTCCAAAACACGTGACATTCAACACAGAACGTGACGTTTTTGTGACATTTGACTCAGGACGTGACATTTAGATGGTATTTATTTATGCGTTTGTAAGGCATAACTCAAATGCTTCATATCTGTTCCCAAAACTTAAAATCGAAATTTCGTGTTATGGGTTTTAAAGATTAGGCTCTAATAATGAAAATTTCATTAAGTTCTTTTAACCTATGACGGCCGATATGCAATTAAGATATGATTAATTGGTCTCAAACAGCGGGGCGTTAATATTTAATTCCGATCGCTTGAAAAGTAAAAATATTTAATTTCATGTATTTTATGTTCAGTAATAATATTGGATTTTACTGTATCACAGGCAAATAAAATGAATTTAATTTGTATACAGGGGGCGTTAAAAAAAGTGGGACGGAATATTTCGAATACTCGAAATTATTTGTCATCAAATATTTATCGAGGTCTCTATAAGTCCCTATTTTGCGTAGAGTAAAAATTATACGAATTGTTTTGCATGCAGTAAAATTGGAAAATACTTGCCAAGTTGCTGGTATGTCAAAATTTAAATAAAATACATCAAATACGTTACTTTTTGTAGACACTGTATTAAATATAACCTTGAAAAAAATTGACACTAAATCACTTCCGAGTTTTTAGCAAAACAAAAGGTTTAAACATGTGTAGTGGAGTAATTAATACCAAAGCTATTTAAAGTGTGCAGTTTAGTAATTAGACCGAATGTACTTTATCGTTTACTAAAACATACCACAAAGTCCGAATTGAATTCCCGAAACATTTTTTTGTTACTTCTTTTTAGCAAACGATTTTCTGTCTGATATTTCACTATCAGAGTCGTTACTATCTGAATTGTCTATTCGAATAATTAGAGGCCGGACCTAATCTATAACTCTATTTCTTCCGTATGTCTAATACAATTTTGCCATTGTTCTGTGTTTATTTGTTCTAGCGATTCTTTTCATATCTGCTGTTATGGGTGCATGTTTATTATAAAAATTTTTGGCTATACCCCAATCTAACTCAATTGAATTATAGTGACAATGGTAGGGCGGAAGTCGAAGAACTTCATGGGCATATTTAAGAACCATTTAGTCAGTACCAATTTTTTTTTAATGTTGTGCTCTCCACAACTTTGAAGTATATCGACTTTTAAAAATATGTCACTCTAATAAATTTTCTTTTCTGTTAACCACAACTTTATTTCTTTTTTTGTCCAGCTGCTCGAAGGAAATATTTCTTCTACTCTTGTAATCACCTGTATTCCTTGTGGACGAAAAAATTAAATTAGCGTCAGGAATAAAACCTTCATCATTTCAAGCATAAAGTATAATGTAGCGTTTACAATTACCAAAACGACTAGAAGAATAACATTTCGCTGTGCAATCTTGCCAGGATGATTTTGACATATACCCTTTGGGGAAAATCCAAGTTTCATCTAAAAATATAACTTGCCTCGGTCTATCAGACGTTTTATTGTGCATGTATTTTCTTAAAAAATGCCACCGTTTGGAACAACATTAGAGAGTTCACACACTACTTGTCTATTATTTGTCTTTTTATATCAAAAACCTAAATGTTTCAGCACACTTCACAAACTTGTTAAACTGATATAACGAAGTTCCTTGTCTTTTATTTTTTTGTAACAAAGCACTAACTGCTATATGTTCTTTGGCTTTATACATATAATATATACTATTTTTAATTGCTAATTTAATAATTGACTGGTATAAATATAAAGCATTTGGATGTCGATGATTTATCTTGCTTACTTTTTTTATTTCATCCTTACTCATATTATCTATTCTTCGGAATGTCCTGATGTAACGAGCATCGCATGTACGTTTCTAAACTGCCATAACAGATGTCAATAGACCCATATTATTTTTTTTTCCAAATTAAAATAACTGTCGACTTTCAGAACTAAACGCCGCTCTTCTGGAGAAAATTACTTATTTTACTTTAAAGTACCGCTTCACTACACTTCTATAAAAGATTAGGTACTCATATACAATTACTAAACCCTAAAAAGGACGAGGGTTGTACAACATATGAAGCAATCGAACACAAATTATTTAACAGCCAAAGCTAAATAAACATAAACACTGCTTTGAATGTGATTGCAAAACCCTTTCGCATGTTGTAAATAAGTCTTTCGCTGATTATGTATATATATATATATATATATATATATATATATATTTATATATATATGTATATATTATATATATATATATATATATATATATATATATATATATATATATATATATATATAATTCTTTGGAGGGTAACTTTCGGGAAAGCGTCAAAACAAGGATCAGCTAGAGATGATATAAGCCAGTTTGGTGTAGAACTTTATTCTAAATGTGAAATTTTCGGTAATATGTTGTCACCTTCATCAGCACCTAAATGGAAAACCTATTTTAGTACAAGTGGTGGAAATCAACATTTAAAACCTACATTGAAAATGTTCAGTTGGTCCTAGTGGTGAAGAACACTGTCACAAACATGTTAAAAATATTAAAAAATACATTTAAAACTTTGAATAAAAACATTACAACACAACAGGGTATTATTTCAAATACAAACACAACAAAAAAATCTAAAAATTACAACCTACAAAAACTGCAACTTCATGTTAAAGGTAGAAAAGAAGAAGTTTTATTCAAAGTTTTAAATGTATTTTTTAATATTTTTAACATGTTTGTGACAGTGTTCTTCACCACTAGGACCAACTGAACATTTTCAATGTAGGTTTTAAATGTTGATTTCCACCACTTGTACTAAAATAGGTTTTTCATTTAGGTGCTGATGAAGATGACAATATATCACCGAAAATTTCACATTTAGAATAAAGTTCTACACCAAACTGGCTTATACCATCTCTAGCTGATCCTTGTTTTGACGCTTTCCCGAAAGTTACCCTCCAAAGAATTGTATTCTTTGCGTCGTTTATACACACTCTATATATATATATATATATATATATATATATATATATTTATATATATTCTACAGTATTCTACAGTATTCACTGCCTTCCCTCGCTCAACCGTTTTCATCTCTCTCTGTTGTCCCATTATCCATCGTTTATGACTCTCTTACTTATGGCATCGTCTACTTCGTTCCCATAGGATCTTCGGGGTCGCCGTCTATTCCTCCTTCCTATGGGGTTCCATTCGGTTATTCTCTGTATCCATCTACTGTCGCTAGTTCTTCTTACATGTCCAATTG